ATTTGATCATGAGAATGAATTATGATTGCCAGTATATATATTGCCTTAGGTAAGTTAAGAGTATGTGCTGAACATATTCTTAAATGTAGAAAATGAAGAATTTAAAGGCATAATGTCTTGAATGGGTAAGGTGATTCATATATCATGTGCATGTATACGGTGTTGTACTTGCTTTTGTTTTTGTCTTATATTTGTTGTATCATGAAATTTTACTATGGTGTCATGGGATTAGGCAATATGACTATATTTCATGCTTTCCTTTACTATTTAATGTTGTCAATTAGGTTTAAATCATATAAAATGTTTACTGAAAATATCAATTTATGTGATTTATGATATATTTTTGAAAACCACAAGCTCAGTGTTGTTGTTGAATCTTGAAGAAAATACTCGAGATAATGGAAGAAATGCAAGTTTAATTATAAATACTTCTCAATAAAAGAGCTTCTCGAAGTAAAATTTTAAATTTTATTATATAATATATTATGTTTATTTATATTATATTATAAAAGAGTTATATAATTGTTATTATTCATTCCATGCAGGTGCTCTAGAAATTTACCAATAAAAGATATCTTATTTGAATTTGTGTATGAAATTAGATATAGTTGGATGTAAGTACTATGTTTTTGATATAAATTAATATAGTTGATGGAAGAATTTCATCTTCTTATATCAAAGAATTCAAAAGTAGTCATACGGGTGCTATAATCGTGAAAGAAGTATGGATAATTACTATGTTATCTTTCATAGTAGTATCAATTAATGTGTGGATAGATAATATTATCTTTCATACTGCGACAGAAGTATCTATTAATCTGGTTGAATAAGAGTAGTAATATGTAGATTGTTACTATGATTATGTTTCATACGGTAAGAGTATGTATTACTATAGTTAAACAATCACACTAATAAGTGAACCATTATTGTGGATTTCACACGATAAGACTATCTCTTATTATAATTGAGTAATTACAATAATATATAAATATATATTGTGATTGTCATTTATAGGGAAAAACACATCTTACTGCAACTGAGTTACCACAATAACTTGTGGATATTTACTTACAATAATAAAATTCATAACTTATATCTTTACGTGATGTCACTTATTTCCATGATTCTCAACGACAGGAATATATCTTTCTATAGTCATAATCAACAGCGATATACACAGGTAAGAACCGTAGGTAGAAATATATTTTATTGTAGTGAATCCTTAGGTTTGATTTCGTATTCGTAGGTCTCGTACTTGATACACTAAGATCCCTGAGAAGTTGTTCAATCATCAAACTATTGATCTTTAAATATAAACTATTTTTTAGGTAAGAAATCAAGATAAGTGTAGCAGGAGAAAGAAACAAAACTCACCTACAAGATATGCACGATGGATGCAACCATTATAATGCTTGCTTGTGTGCTCACTTGTGAATCTTCCAATTTGTGCCTTCACAACGTATTTGTTAACCTTACACATTGTAATTATCGATATCTACTTATAAGAATTATATATGATATATAGATTATTCTAATCTGATCATACTCTATCAGTCGACACCAAGTGGCTAATGGGAGAAACCTCCTTTGAGAAACCTATCAAATTACCAACTACCTTTGTTTGCTGAACATGTTCCTCAAAACCTCCGTAGCTTCTACCTTTGTTGGGGAGTCTCACAGTTGCTCTATCCTCCTTTGATTCCTCATCTGTTATTCTGACTAGTAGAACAATGCTGCATGCAACCATGATTCATGCATGGTGAGGCTAACATATATCTACGCAAGCTTTACTAGATAGTGCTTATTATTCTTAGCATACAGTGTCCGAGTCTTATATATATTAAATCACAATTAGCAAGACAATAAAAACACAAATGATATATATATATATATATATATATATATATATATATATATATATATATATATATATAATCCTTATTTAGTGATATGATTTATGATATATATACTTCATAAATATGATAAATAACATGCTTATATTTTTAGCTTTTAAAGTTGAAGTATATACTTTCCAAAAATATTATTCACTGTATTCTACAAAATATTGGTTGAGTATCTATAAACATCAATGTCTACCGTAAGCATATTTTATAGCAAAAATACATTATCCTTTGGTACAATAAGTATAAGTATGCTAACAAACTTAAGGTTAAATTATAGTAATAATTATGAATATAATGATTAGAAGTGACCGTTGAATTATCATATGACTTAAGTGAATGTTAAGGTTTGAATTAATTTAAACATCTAAGGGATGACAACTTTAATCACGTATGCATAAATGGAGTAGTAAAATGAGAAATTAAAGAGGAGTGCTGCCCGAAAAATGTTGATATCAAAAAGTGAGATAAAAAGATAATTTAAGAGTGAAAACCCTTTATTTATATCAATTTAAATTAAACTCATATTAAGCTATGTTAATCCTACAACTATACCAAAAGAAGAAGAAAAGAAAAAAAAATAAAAGAAAACATTAAAGAATGCTTATGAGATTGAACCCATAACCTTTAGGCTACATCTTAAACAGCTCTAAACAACAGACCTTATTTTGGCATTATCCACCTCACTATCTCGACCTCTTTCTTTAATTCTTCACTTATTCTCTCTCAAATGCTGAGTCTTTTCTTCATTCAAGCTTAAGAACTTTGGTTTTATCGTGGATTGAGTTAAGAAAACTTAATTCTTCCCTTGCTATACCTAAGATTTTAATTTTATAATTTGTAAGCTATTTTTTTGATTGATTGTGGTTGATCTAGGGTTCAAATTAAGATCTAATTTTTTTATATGTTTTGTATAGTTAAGTTTGAATTCTATGGCTTCTAGAACAACTTAAATCTAAGTTTTATGATTTCAATTATAGATCTATCACTCTTTAGCATATAGAATCTTTTATTTCATGTGAAGGGGTTTTGTTCAAGCTAAATTTAGGATTGGATCATGATCTTTTCATATCTCTTAAAAAAATTCCTTAAGAGTTTTACAAGTATGGAATTGAGTGAATATTGCTTATGTGCATCAAGATATGAGGTGTAGAATTTCATAAAGTCTTAACCAAATTTTCGTATAATAGGATAGATGATGGTAGTTAAACAGGGAGGATAGTTTAGCCTCTAAATGATTCTATTCTAAACTAAAATTTAGCATATATTTACTTTTATATATCTCCTAGTTTTTTATAAAATTTTATGATAATTTAATATCGTTTGATCAACTAGAATAATGATATAAGATTGCTTCACAGAATTGTCTAATAATTTGATTGATACTAACTAATTCATTTGATTATAGAGTTTACTGTTGAAAAATTAATAGTAGAATTTAGATGAATTTTAGGTTTAGTCTATTTTAGAATAGATTTTTTCAAAAAAAATTTCTATGAATTATTATAGATCAGCAATCCAAGAGGTATGGTTTTTAATTATGGTATCTCATGACTCTATAATCCAAACTTGATAGTTTTATTACTCCTTAGCATATTCGATCATTAAATAACATGATCTTTCATTAGCATCTTTATTTTTGAGTTAAATTAGATAGTTTTAAGTTTAATTCATAGCAAAAGTGGAGCTAACCCTTTGTTTGTCTATTTTTCTAAATGTAAGGAGATGTGTTGATAGCATCATTATAGTAGCTGACACATTATAGCATCATTAGGATATGCTTGAAATGTAAGGAGATAGTATCCTCTTCTTTACTTGAACTAAAGATTTTTTTAATAGGTTTTGTGATCGAGTGTAATTTAGTTCAATATCAAATGTAACTTGATCGATTTTCACTAAACTAAATTAAACTTCTACCAAACAATTTAGCCAGATTCTAAGGTAATTAGTATCACTTTTCTATTTTTATAAGATTTTATAATAATAAATTAACCAAAAAATTGATGATTTTTTTAATAGGTTTTATTATTGTGTTTACGATTTTAAAAATTTTATGATAATTAATTATTAAAATATGAGATTTTTTAAATAGTAATTGAGTATAACTTAATTTAATTTCGAGTGTAACTTAGTCAACTTCTATTAAATCAATCCAAACTTCCAAAGAATTACTATGACATATTCAAAGATATATTTAGTACAATGTTTTGAGAATTTTATGATAGTTAATTATCAAAATTGAAGTTATTTCAATAGGTTTGATGATTGAGTGTAACTTAGTTTAATTTCATGAGTGACTTAATTAAATAAGATTTTATTAAATTAGATCGAACCGCAATCGATTCATGTATTCTGACTAAGTCCAAAAGTCTAAGTGTGCTTTCATCTAAGCGAAAAAAAATACACGCAAGGTAAAAATAAATAGGGGTCCAATAGTAAAGATTTTTATGGTAAAATGTACTTGATTAATTAATTATATTTATTAGAATATGATAGACATCTAAATAACATCGAGGTCGTTTAGATAAATAAAGGATGGATGTAATATTGTATATGATATGAAATGTATTTGCCTTGGAAGTATCCTCAAGTCTCTTATAACGTAACCTGTAAACCAACCATGTGATATGCATGTACTTTAAATATATTGAATAAAGAATAATCTATAAACAAACCATGTGATGTGCACGTTTATTTAAATATATTAAACAAAGAAAAATGTTGCTTGACCTATCATCTCACGGTATGAACATCTTCCCGAGATTCTGATTCAGCTGAAACCAAGGAAAGGCTGCAATACAGTAATGAATGGGGGATGATGACCATGTTATTCTTAGAAAATAAGCTCAACAATGACCTAGTTAAATAGAGTTCTCATGAGATGCCTTAGGAAGGAAGATATGAAATCATCTTCTAACTCGTGACATGGATGACAACTTTGTATTCGCATGCACTTTAAAGTAATACAAGTTTTTCACTTGGGAAAAGGGAAAAATGAAAGGTGAAAACAAGTGCTGCAGACATCGAGATCTGACTTCGAGTGAACGGAGTGGGAGTGTCTATGGAAGAACGTGGTAGCAGCAACATCTCCTGATCCAATTATGGAAGGCACCATGTCACAGTAAAGAACACGTAGCCTGAGCTGTCACATGATGAGCATCTCCCTCCATATAAGTCCAATTACCTGCTGCACAATGGGCATCCTTATCTTGTACAGCTAAAGCCAGGGAGAGGTCGCACAGAGAGCGACAGAGATGGGAGCCCTTGATGCTATCGTGGCTCTGTTGCTCGTTTCCAATGTATTCGCCGGAGCTGTCGCGGCGGCCGGCCCAAAAGTCATCGTCGTCGGAGCCGGCATGTCTGGTAAAATATTAATCAGCGTTCGCATCATAGCATTTGGTGCAGTCGATGCATGTACTTCAAGCATCTAATGAACTTGATGCCGGTTTACGCAGGGATCTCTGCCGCGAAGACGCTGTCGGACGCCGGCATAAAGGACATACTGATCCTGGAGGCCACGGACCGCATCGGTGGCCGCATGCGCAAAGTCAACTTCGCAGGGATGAACGTGGAGATGGGAGCCAACTGGGTGGAAGGAGTGAACGGCCCTGAGTTGAACCCCATTTGGAAGATGGCCAATAAGCTCCACCTGAGGAACTTCTTCTCAGACTACAGCAACCTCTCCTCCAACACCTACAATGAGATGTAACCAAATCTAGCCATATATTTCATGCTCTTAATTCTTCTGTTCACCATTTCCCTAACATCGTGCCATCTGCTTAATTTCTATGTACTCAGTGGTGGGCTTTACCAGAGCTCCGAAGTTGACGAGGTCATCGAGGAGGCCGCCAAGGTCAATAGCTTTGGAGAGAAGCTCTCCGCATCCTTACCTCCCAGCGGCCGCGAGGACGTCTCCATTTTGACGTCTCAACGCCTGAAGAACCAGTAAATCTATCGCTCTGCCAACACATGCATGCCGTTCTGTCGTTTAAACCGCACGCATGACTGTGTGGTTTTGCATGCGTGCAGTGTTCCTTCCACCGCGTTGGAAATGGTGGTGGATTACTACACCTACGACTACGAGTTCGCGGAGCCACCGAGGGTGACGAGTCTCCAGAATACTGTTCCCTTGCCCACGTTCGCCAACTTTGGGGAGGACGTCTACTTTGTGGCGGACCAACGAGGCTACGAGAGTCTGGTGTACGACTTGGCCGGCCAGTTCCTAAGGACGGCCAAGAACGGCACCATTGTAGATCCTCGTCTCCTCCTTGGAAAGGTAAATACTCCACAGTACTCGTTTCTTGACAGATCTATAATCACACACTCTATATATATATATATATATATATATATATGACCTTAGAAGATCATTCTAGATGATAAATAAACTAGATTATATTATATTTTATAGTATATATTGATCTATATTATCTTAAATAAGATATGTTTATGCTGCAACTCATTGTGGAAATAACATTTAAAATGTAGAGGAGGAATCTTAATAGTGTAAGAGTGGGGAAAAAATAAGACTGTAATAGTATATAAAAGTACTGAAATGTTATCAATACCCATTGGTGCCTCTCTGCAGGTTCATTGAAGGATTAGGAAAATAATCTATCACTGTATTAAACATTACTAGTGAACTAAATTTTTTGAAGGGAATTCTCATTTAATGCATCAGTTTTTAGAATATAATGACTATTCCATGTTTCTTAGACTTATCTTTCTACCAACACAGCTGTCATATTTATGATTCATTATTATCTTATTGTCAAATAGCTTTGCGATCTGCAACTTAATGGTATATTAACACCTCGGCTACGGGTTTTAGGTTCCGTTTGAGCCTTCACTTCTTCTACTTGCGTATTTAAATGCAACTGTTGTTGGAACGTCATGGCTACCATCAACTTGTACTTATCTTGTCCTTTATCTTGTTGGAACAGCGTGGCAGCGCCTTCACTCTTCCACTGTCATGGACTTATCTTGTACTTATTTTATTGTCATGGCTACCATGCAATAGACTAGAATCCTGCGGTGAACTCATAAAATTCTGGTCCCATAAGTAAAGGTTTCCCTGACCATTGTCGACTTTTCAGATCAAATCTATTATCTCTACATTCTTCCATGGAGAGTGCGTACTTCCATAGAACCAGTCTTTTCTTATCTTATCACAAGTGTTTTATATGCATTGTTTGACATCTCTCTTGGTCGCCACGCTAATGCACTATGATTAGGTTGAAGCATGACGATGTTCCCATCTACAGTTTACGAATCAATCACCATATCAATCATCTATTCAAGTCAAAGAAGCATCATCAACCTCTCCTATTTCAAATTGTTTATCATATGCTACTATCTTATTTGTTCTGTATATATATATATATATATATATATATATATATATATATATA